CGTTACATTACAAACAATATTGGTCAGCGTATCGGTGAAAGTATGTCTTAGTAATATCAGAAATAACATTACTAATTAACGGCGGGTATTGTTCCTTATGACCGTAATTTGGGTACTATGTACAAAGGACCACTTACCCAGTGCGTTGTATTAGATGAGATCCACGATGAGGTCGCAATGATACCGATGTGACATAGAGATTAATTGAATTAGAATGTCGCTTCTGCTACAGTGTTCGCTAAGAAACCGTGCAAGCTCATGAACTGGCTGGAAGTCTAGTTGGATTATGATAACGAATGTTCACTTCTTATTAGTCGTTCAAAAACGGCCACTTTCAACCACAACCCTTTAAACACCAGAATCGTGCTGCACGACATCTTGAGCCGCGACGTAGCTCTTCCAGCTGGCGCAGGTATCATTCAGTGTCTCGTAGTCGTACATAATCTCCGGGGCTCGCTCCAGTAGCTGCACCGCAAAGCCCTCAGAAGTGTGCCAAGCGATATGGCAGTGCATGAGCCAAGCCTGCACATCTGAGTTAGCCAAGAGACTGGTTCAAGGGGAAGAATGTGAGAACTTACACCTGGATTGTTGGTCTTGATCGCAATGACCAAGTAGCCACTGGCGGGCATCATCGCCACATCACGCCGGGGGGCATTGACCAATGTCAGGGCGTCGGTCTTTGTCGCATCGAAATCGCCGTAGCCCGCAGCCAGAACCCAGAAGTCATGGCCGTGCAGGTGCATGGGATGGTCCTGGGCGAAGGGAGAGTGGACGACCAGGTACACCCACTGGTCCTGGTAGGGGAGATGGATGATGCGCTCCTTGGCTGCCCAGGTGTAGTTGTGGTTGGCCACATGCATCAGAGTAGGATAATCCCACTCGGTGTGGAAGGAGGTCTTGTTCATGGTCCACAGCAAGGCGTTCGAGGCGACCTCGATTGAGACCTCTTCACTTGTACTGTAGGCAAAATTGTCCGAGGCATTGATGGCTACGTAAGGGATGAGGTCAGAGGAGGACTCATCGGCACAGGAATCTATATAAGTCCAGGCCGAGGTCGTGGGGTCTGCCGTGGAAGATTTGTCATAACGGATGATGCCCTTGATATTGTTCAAGGCATCCGTCTCGGAGCAGGCCTCCTGGGGGATTGCGCGCAGCCAAAAGTTCCCGCTGTTCAGTTGTTTAGCCGTAAGAATGACATCGTAGCGCTGGCCCATGCCAATGCTCAGTTGTGTGGTGTTGTAGGGGTGAATAGGGACAAAATCCGCCGCAATCACTTCCATGGTGTGGTTATCAATCATGAAGCGGAAATGGTTATCAGCTGCCGCGTTGACGAGGCGAATGCGGTATCTGGTACCCGCATCAAAGGTTGTCTCGAAACGCGAACCGTTGTTGCCATAAGTGTTTGTCCCATTGATTAGGCCGTTGGGAGGAGTGGGCGGTCCACTTGTAGCGGATTCTAGGACCAATTTATCGGCAGTTTTCTGACAAAATTAGGCCTGCCCTGCGTCTGCCTTATGCTGAAGTTGGAAGAAGGAGGGGGTAAAGCGTACATGATACCAATCGTTCAAGAAGATGTGGCCTAGGTCCACATCGTAGTTGGCCGTGGCAGGGCCGTTGATCAGAATTCCACCAAACACACCATCCCACGCCTGAACGTAGAAGTGGGAGTGATACCAGCCCGTTCCATATTCCACAGCACGCCATTTGTAGGTGTATGACTGTCCCGGAGCGATGGGACACTGCGTGATACTTGGGACACCGTCCATTTGGTCCGTCCAGTTCTGTCGAATTCCGTGGAAGTGCAGACCCGATCCATTAGACTGCAGAGAGTTGGTGACATGGACGACTGGATAACTCAGGAGTCAGTTACTAAATACAAAGTAACAGGACAAGCAAATACTACTTACTGACTGTATCTCCCCAGTCTGCGATGATCGTGGGGCCGGGGAAGGAGCCATTGATCAATTGAACAGGAAGCTCAACGCCATCTGGAGCGGCGGTGGTATTTTCAACATTGAACCAGTACTCGCGCGTGACCCCGGTATCAGGGACCTCCTCATAGTAGTTGGTTGAGATGTTATACCCGTCTCGCCAGCAGGCCCGGTTGGTCGGACTGTTGACGCATCCTTTAGGAGTTGAGGTGGACGGAATGGAAGCCCCGAGGACCTGTGGTATAGCAAGGGCCGACAGAAGAAAAGAGGCAGGAAACCACATTATACTAACATTAACGCGAACGTAGCGCGTGAAGAGATAGAAGCGAGCGACTCAATGAATCAGTAAAGAAGGGATGGATAGAATGAAAAGGCACAGCGAACGTATAGGAAGAGAATTAAAGCATCAAAGAATGACAAGTGCACAATAATGAGAACTGAATGATACTCTGCAGCAGTGGCATATCTGCTTCCAAACGGTCACGTTTTATATGCTTCTCTGAGATGGTTGAGAATTGCCGGACAACCTCCAGGTACCTCTGCTCGGCCACGGTCCGTCTCTGTGGTAGAGTACCGGCTATGGTCTTTGGTACCAGGGCCACCTATCTGCGCCCCCACCGACGATCCATGCAAGCTAAAGACACCATGGGGATAGTAAGAGTCTATCTTTGGTCATCAAGCTCCTACGCTTGAGTATTGGTGCGATCGGGGGTGCCATTAAGAAGGGTCCACCAGCGACACGCATGCCAGAAGCCCTGCTTGCGTTGCTCGTTGACCAACATTCAGGAAATTTCTAAATCTTCCTGTCAGCATCAAAAAATCGAGTTATTATTGGATATAGCTATGGAATATGTGGAATCGGACAGAGCATAACGGAAATATAAATAAGCGGCCACATTGACGATGTTGGATTTATGCCTACCAACCCGTAGGACAGAAATGTTAGATACTAGTATCTCAAGGGTCAGCGGGTGCGCTCGAGGTATTTAATCCTGCAGTACGTAAGAAGCCCCGGGAAGTTTAGCAACGGGAAGCACCCGAGGATCTCTCAGCTCCCACGAATATGGGGGCTATCATGGTGGCACAGGGTTGAGTAAGACGTTCAAGTTTCAGATACACTGAGAGCCCTGAGAGCCCTGAGAGCCCTGTACCGTGACGATCGAGAGTCGACCAAGCTCTGCTGTGTAGGTGCCGGGACAATCTCCAGCTAGTGTGCAGAGACTAGTGCCCCATGGGGCAAGGATGAACAGACCAGATGGGTCAAGATCGCAGACTACAGTGAACTATCCACAAAATCGCTGGTATCAGCCACAGGCTCGCGTGGTTCCGCAACGTCATCACACAACCGTCTCCACTGGCGTTGTGTTTGGTTCCACCCAAAACATCTATTTTTTCTGCTCTTGGCACCAAGCTTTCCGTCCCCATTGCACTGGCAGTTCTACCGTCTTGCACCGGCTCTGCCGTGTCTGCCAACACAATGGCATTCCCATTCAGCCCTATTCTGGGGCCAGGCATGCGCGTCACCCACGCATCGATCAAGGTTTCGCTCGTGTTAGCATGGCCTGAGGACCACGTATACAGTCGAAGGATTTTGTCGGTTTCCCGCGGACTCACACTCGGGAATTCCGTTTGAGTACCAGAACCCAGAGGATGCGAGGAATTATCAAGCTTGGCATTCAAGGGCTAGGGGTCCACTACAAGGACTGAGCCTATAATTGGGGAGGTTTCCCCTTGATAGGATTGTATGATAACGACGTTTTTGTTTCCTGGCCGAAAAACGCAAAGCACATTCGTTACATTCATATTCGTTTCTTCATCGTTTTATTTACCTCCCTTCCCAACACCGAGTCTACCACCAGCCCATGATGCAGTGGACGAGCTTTCTTAGCCCTCTGATCGCCTTGCACGCTGGCCTTGGCGCTGCTTGGGGCACCCATGTCAAGCGGGGATCGGAGACCAATGCCACTTTGTTGGCCTACGGACAGAACTCTTCCGCTTATCCCATCGCTTACGGGCTCAGTGATGGTATGGCTTCCGGAGTCATGTACCATCTAGCCGCTGCTGACCGACAATCTAGGCCTCCTGTACATCGCCCAAAATCCGGAGAACACTGCAGCAGACCTGACGCCCATGTATTGGGACCTGCCCTCCATCACGGACGACTGCTGGATCGTGAACGGCACGTTCATGAACGGGACTCGTGCGGGTTCCCTGTACATCCGACCGGAAAGCGACAACTGTCTCGGCGTGCTACCTTTTGCCCAGGCTAAAGGGGTGAATGGCGTTGTCACGGGCTTTGGCCTCTTTGCATCGCAGCTGGTATACAACAATAATACCCAGCTGGAAGCACAATTCTGGGCGGCAAAGACGGACACTGAAGATGTCTACAAGCTGGTGTGGGTGGAGGACTCTGCCCAACTTGCGAGCGAAAGCTTTCCTGTGGTGGTGAAGGCATCCGAGGACTCGACTTGAGGTAAATAAGCAACCAATGGTGGTGTGGCTCGGATTGTAAGGGGTGGTGCTCCGGGCATCATGTTGTTCATGGTCATTGCGTGGTGGCACATATGTCATTCGTTGAAATTCTATTACTACCCTTAACTATCATTAATCCTATATTTAACAGACACTCGTTTATAATAAAGATCCGAGCAAATTGAATGCTGAGAGTTGCAGCGCTTGACAAACAGAGCGGGAAACCAAAACGTGCTTGAGCCACAATAATCCTAGTTCCAGGAAGAAAAAATACCTTACCCATAAAACGCCGGAACTAGGCTTTCACCATACTGATTCCGTCACTCAATCAGTAGAGACACACATGTAGATCGGACTTTGGGTGAGGCTCAGAGACCCTTGGCCCGGTTTTGGTAGTGTTTCAGGTAGACACGATAGACGGGAGGAGAGCAAGTCTTGTCTCTCTACCCTTTCTTATCATTGCCCCACCGTGTTAGTCACTAGTCCTTGTTGATGCTATTTAAGCATAGCTGGCGTACTTGCATACACCCCTATCTGTTGTGACTACGACATTCATCCCCACTGTCTGTGCCGTGCATACTCTGCCACACCCCTGGTCTAGCGATAGGAGACGGATTGCGCCAAGCTAGAGCGGACGACAATGGAGTGATCTGGAATGGGATATTCCGATGTTGAGCGCAGAGATGGCGTATGTTGTGCCGTCATGTCATCCATCCCAAGGTTGGCCAGCCCAACCTCGTCTTCAGGCACCCCGCAAGTAGAGGTTAACGTCCTTACGCGCCTTGGCTGGCCGAGTCGTATGCTAGCCTGCAAGTGGGCCCGGTCTCCATGATGGCGTGAAGGCTTCCGTGGAGACACTGAGAAGGGGAATTGATTGCCTTTGCTTCCTTGACTGCACAATATCCGAATGCGGGTGAGATGGGGGAGACAGGCGCAAACAATAGCTACGGATGGCTCAATACTGGAACAGATGAACAGCGGTCCCATCATCCAAGTAATATCATGAGCGTGGGTAAATCGATATAGAACATATATGCGCACGGCACTGGCTACGCAAACGCTGCAAGGTACGTTAGGGATGTTCCTAACTGGGAGTATGGCACACTCACAAGCTACCCAACGCAAGAATTAGGTAAACAGCAATCTTCTTCCGGCGGTTCATTTGGAGCTTTGCGATTTATGGAAAGGCAATAATAAGAATTATGAAGTCGTTGACCATATTGATGATTCCGGTGGCGAGAAAGAATGTGTCAGTGTCAATGCACGTTCCCGACGCACCTTGGAACTGATTCCAGAAGTAGGACAGCGGTTGGCAGCAGTTTCCCATGGCCACCCAGACAATAACAGGGTACGAGAGCGCGAGCACAAATCCAATCAAAACGGAGATTCGGAGGGAGAGGGGCTGGTGAACAACCACAAAAATTCGGCGGTAGAAGAAGAGGATCGAGAGTTTATATGCTGAACATCCGGCAGCATACATAAAGGTGTATGTGAGCAGAATCTGCCTGGTGAGCTACCACATATTATACCGAAGGTATCGCACAATCTTACTTTGAAAATAGTCGACACATCGGCCAGAGATTCTGCCCATACATGCTTTCCAGCATCAAATGCGCCGCCTGGATTTTTGACGCGTGCTTAGAAGCCGACGTATCTGGGGGAATAGGAAGTATCTCGCGCTGTACCTGCTAGACTTAGACCTGCTGTGGCTGCGACAAAAGCCTGGTAAGTAGCGACGTCGATGTTAGCACTTGAAGCCCCATTGCTGATCAACTCATCTTGTTCACCTACCAGGGACGCCAGAATCAACCAGTCGTCCAGTCGAAAAGGATTCCGCACGGCCAGTCTCGCGATGAACCGGAGACCCACTGCAATTATGCTGAGAAGCAGCAGAACAATCACGGCTGCATTGTCTCGACGTACTTGACTTTCAGCTAGATCGATGTGGGCAGGAGGTTGACCGAAGATGGCCACTATAGTTGGATCCAAGTCCCTTATGTGCAAATAACAAGATGAGCTACGGCAATACGTTGCCCTTTATCAGCTTCTATGTTGCGGCTAAGTTGATGTTGGGTGCACCGAGGAAATATTAAAGGGGTTATCATTTTGCCGTGGACTATATCAGACGGCCATCGGTCGGGTCGGTCGGGAGACGCTATTTGCTCATTTTTCCTAGCACTCAAGAAGCTAGCACGGGATTCCTTTCAACTTAACAATATAGTCAATGGTTGGCACATCGGGGTGAACGACGGTGTCGCTTTTAGCATGTTAGCCTTGCGTTAGTGCTGACAGCTTACAGGGATCGTTTCGACGATCACAATTCTTCCGCTGCTCCCCGTCGGATAAAACGGCTGTTAAGCAAAAAATCCAAGTTTTCACCAGTGATAGATAACCCAAGCCAGCCTCACTCTCGACTGGATATCGCTTTCTCCTTTCAGTTGACGCATTGGGAAGCCTGGCCTGATGTCGTCGCAACAGGATGCATTTTAGTGCTGTCGCTGCTTCTCCAATCCATGAACCGTCTGCGGGGTTCTGCTCAGGAGAAAGGTATTAATTTGAGGATGATGTGCCTGTACCTGGCTTGCATGTCGGGATTCTGACCCTCTTTTCCATACGACATACTTTTGGAGGCATCATTTCATGCTTTGCAATGGGTTCAATAGCTGAAGCGAGCGACATCCCGAGCCTCACGGCGTTAGAACGCATCGGTCCCAAGGGCTATGTGCGGTACATATTTCCCTTTCCACTTGGGGATGACTATGATCTCGAGCAGGTGGTCGAGATTCTCCGGGTGAGCTATGCGGCCACCACTCGCCGGCTACCGGTTATGGCGTGCGAGGCGGTGCCTGACCATCGCACAACACAACGAGGTGTCCTTCGCCTCCAACGCCTCCTCGAGGGATACATCGAGCCGATAGTGACCCGAGATCTGCGTGCACCCGGCAAATTTCCGACCACATACGCAAAGCTTCAGGCCAGGGCGTTCCCGGTGGCTTTCTTCGATGCCGACGTGCTATGCCGCCGCTCTGTATGGCCCACTCCGGGAGAGCGATTGCCAGTATCTCTCTTGCAGGTCAACTTCATCGCCGGTGGCCTACTATTGAATTGGTGCGTGCTGCATGTGGTTGGTGACGGCACGACATACCAGGTGTGGATGAAGGTTTGGGCTGAGGAGTGTCGCCGCGCTCAGGGCATGGCCATTCCTGAACCCATCGAGCTCCCGGAAGCGACTATCAAAGATCGCGAACGCGCAATGCGTGCATCTGGCCGTAATCCCGGCTCACTGGGCAGTCGTCCGCAGTACACGTTGCTTCCATCTGCGCCGGCCGGAGCACCCCCCAAGATGCTGGCCCAGAACCATCGCACTCAAGTCTTCTATTTCTCCCCTGCAGCGCTGACGGCACTGAAGGAGGCAGCGTCTCCCGCCCATGCGACCATGACCTCCAACCAAACTTGGATTTCCACCAATGATGCTCTATCGGCGCTGCTCTGGAGAACGTTGACGGCTGTGCAGTGGCCCCTGGATACTCTCCAGGGTGATCCCGTATCCGTTTTCAATCTTGCGATCGACGGGCGCCTACGGACCGATCCGCCTGTGCACCCGGAGACTCTGGGATGCTTTCTGGAGTATCTCGGGGTCTCCCTCCCGATTCGAACCATTCTGGGCTCCGCTAGCCTTGCAGATCTAGCCATCCTGATCCGTAAAGAAGTACTCCGCGCCGACCGGCAGTTCACGGATGACCTGGTCGCACTCGTAGAGCAGTTGGAGGATGTGGAGTGTCTGATGCCCACGGCATTCCTGGATGTCCCTGGGTTCAACTGCGTACAGACCTCCTGGATCAACTTCCAGTTATATGGACTGGAATGGGGTCCCCTGATGGGCAACCATATCGGCGCGGTGCGAGCCCCTCACATTGGTGTCATCAACGGTCTGCAACTCGTGTTGCCGGCGCCACCAGAGGGGGGAATGGAGGTGTTGGTAGGAGTGGAAGAGAGCTGCTTGGAACGCCTGCTGCAGGACCCCCTGTGGATGAAGTATGCCGTGGCACGATAAGTGAGAGATGGAATAAGGGGATTAGGTGCCACAAGCAGCCATCCGTAGTCGCTTCGAGGCATAGTGTATAATAACTGTTCTAATGAATGCGTGTTACTCAGCATAGGAGCAGTGTCCCAAAATATGCATCCCTGTTGCCTACCTTCCTTCAGCCAATACTGGCTTTTGCATTTGCCTAAGCCACTGCTTTATTATCACTGGAACACTGACCGCAAAACCGCCGCGGATCATTCACTCACATTCCAGCAAGTGACGTTAAATTCCACTAGCAGCAACATCCACATTCCGTTTACGGGAGTTTCACAGGCGCCACAGCAATAAATGAGAATTACTTTATACACCAGGTCCCCTCCGCCCTTGCAGAGACAGCAATCGCCAGACATTTAAGCTGTCCCTTCGACTCCCCACTGACTTTGCAGGCTTCATGGAGTATTCATACAACATCCAACATGCGCATCGTGCTCAAAGCTAGCTTGGGGGCAGTACTAATTGCCTCCGCCCACGCGCTGGGACAAAGGCCTCTGGGGTCCTCATTTGGTGTTCCTGGTACCAATGCAACGTTCGACTACATCGTGGTAGGAGGTGGAACCGCGGGTTTGACACTGGCCACGCGACTAGCCGAGCAGCAGAACGGCTCGGTGGCTGTCATAGAAGCAGGAGGTTTCTACGAGATTGACAATGGTAATCTAAGCCAGGTCCCTGCCAGTGCCGGAGAATACAGTGGTCCATCTCCATCTGACTGGCAACCTTTGATTGACTGGGGATATGTCACTACCCCGCAAGAGGTACGTAGTTCAAGGCAATCGGCAGAATAAGATATGCCAAGCGCTGACGGATTGGTTGGCAACAGGGACTTTACGATGCACAGGTACACTACCCACAGGGTAAGTGCCTGGGTGGCGGTTCCGCCCGCAATAGAATGGTAATCCACAGGGGCACAAAAGGAGCGTATCAGAAATGGGCGGATGCGGTGAACGATGACAGCTTCACTTTCGACAACCTGCTGCCCTTCTTTGAAAAAAGCTTACACTTCACCCCGCCGGATCAGTCCCTGCGTTTAGCCAACACCACCCCTTGGTATGATGCTAGCGTGCTGGGCACTGGCGCGGGTCCACTGTCTGTGACCTACTCCCACTACGCCCAGGCCTTTACTTCGTGGGCTCTTCAGGGCATGAAGAGTGTGGGATTGTCAATGATTCCCGGATTCCAGAGTGGCTCGCTACTGGGCTCGGGGTATACTCTGCTAACCATTAACGCTTCCACGATGCTGCGGGAGTCATCCGAGACAGCGTTCCTGAGTAGTGCCCTGAGTCGCCCCAACTACCAGGTCTATCAGTCTACCCGGGCTAAGCGGATCCTCTTCGATGGTGGTCAACGGGCAACAGCCGTGATGGTGGAGACCGGGGGATTTACCTACCAGTTGAACGCGACCAAAGAGATCATTCTCTCCGCAGGGGCCTTCGGCTCACCGCAATTACTGATGGTATCTGGTGTTGGGCCTGCTGAGGTTCTCAATCCACTGGGTATTCCTGTAGTGGCTGACCGGGCAGGCGTCGGCCAAAATCTGCAGGACCAAGTCCTGTCGTTTGTGGCGCGCCCTGTTAATGTGGTTACAGAGTCTGCGATGAATTCCCCGGAGGTACAGGCCGAGGCAGCACAGCAATTTGACGAGATGGCAGCTGGACCCTATACTAGCCCCGGAATTGAGGCCCTGGCGTGGGAAAAAATCCCCCATGATCTGCGGGCGCAGTTGTCCAACGATACCCGAGAGTTCCTTGACCAGTATCCGTCGGACTGGCCCGAGATTGAGTATGTTCTGATGGCAGGGTATAGAAAGATGGAATACAGGAGCCTGATGATGATTTGAACTACGCCTCCATTGTGTTTGGCCTTGGAATATCGCAGTCCCGTGGCAACGTGACAATCACCTCCAGAGATGTTGCCGTCCCGCCTCTAATCAACCCAAACTGGCTCACTGCATCGGCAGACATTGAGGTTATGGTAGCAGGCCTCAAGCGGGCGCGGCAGTTCTGGCAAACAAGTGGCCTCAATCCGGTGGTAATTGGCCCGGAAGCGTTTCCGGGAGATTCAGTTGAGACCGACTCAGAGATTGAAGTCACTGTCAGGCGCAATGCCAATTCCATCTCGCATGCCTCGTGCACGTGTGCTATGGGAACTGCTGACGATCTAATGGCCGTGGTGGATACCCAGGGCCGCGTGTTTGGAGTGCAGGGGCTGCGGGTAGTCGACGCTTCAATTTTCCCTCTTCTGCCTCCGGGTCACCCGCAGGCTACAATTTGTAAGCTACAATCCGCAACCTCCTTTACTAATTATATCTGGCTTACCATAGACAGATGCCTTGGCCGAGAAATTAGCCTGCGATATCACCAGACAGTGCGCCGAGTAGATTGCGTAAAGCCTTTCATAATCCAATACCAACGGAGTTGTTTGAAGTATAAGACCTAGCTGCTCATTCATGCGACGGTACAACGCTCCAGTAGCATATTGAGGATGCGCTGTCACGATGTTCGGTGGGTGTTAGGCGGGCCGCAATAGTCTGCGCAAGTGCCTATCTTAAGATCGGAGACAGGATCCTGCTATGCGTAGGCCAACCGTGCAGGATCCGCTCGTAGTGGAAGCTTACAAGTCGCAGTTCTTCACTTCCGGCCACATTGCCGCAGCCTAAAAATTGAGCCCAGTCGGTGAAAAATGCCATATTTGTGAGCATGGTTGACTATGGCCTACTGTTAGTTAAATTCATGCTTATCGCTTTTGTTAAGTTATAAAGTGCCAAATATATATACATAATCTATGGCAAGGAGCTCGACAGAAGTGAGTGCTGCTCTATATACATCCCGTTCATACCCTACATAACCGGCCATTCTGATCCGGCAGCCCGTCCAAGCTGTGCACCTTCCAGTTCTCACTACCTACTCCAGTCGGTGCGTAAAACAGTCCTGTAGGATCATACTTTTGCTTCAGGGCATACAGGCGATCATAGTAGGAGCCATAGAATGCCTGCTGGAAGTGCGGCTCCATGACATCCGCTTCGGACATGTAGGCGCCCGCCTCCGGGCAAGTGCGCCGCCATTCTCCCAGGATATCGTAGGTGAAGTGTTCCATCTCCTCCAGAATCTCGGCATTGGTGGCATTGCTTGACCAACTGGTCGACGTGATGGCGTGCATCAGGGTCTTGCGGAAGGCTGGGTTGGCCGAGCTTGGGGAAACTCCATCGAGCAAGTCGGCTTTTAGGTTAAAGGCCAGCAAGGAGTAACCGGCCGACACGGTGGAGCGGAGAGCAGCCACAGTCTGATTGAATCGGGCCGGATCCTCAAAGTTGGCGCGTGGAAAAAGTCGGGATCCGGTCATCATGGTCACCGAACCGACGGTCTCCAGCGGGAAGCCCGCGTCCCAAGCGTCATAGAAGTTGTCGTAGTAGGTCGTGTTTGGCTGGAAGGAGATGCCCAAGTGATGCAACTCATCAAACCATGGCTGCATCAGAGTGTTGAACTCGGCTACGGTGTGATTCACCGCAAAGTAGGGGTTCATAAGGAATTCAAACGCGTCAGTTCCCGTAGAGATGACCCAGAAGTAGGCGTACGTTCCAGCATCGGCGTTAACCGGAAAGCGTTGCATGTACGCGCTCACACCAGCCCAGAAGGCATCTGCCGAAACATTTGTGCCAGTAGTGAACGAGAAGGTTGAGACAGTGACGGGCACTTTGGGGTAGACACGAGAGATGATGGAGGTGACAATACCGTATGTACCTAGTCCTCCGCGTCAATGATACGGTCAACGGAGTTGCAAGGGGCTTTGTAGCTTACCACCACCTCCACCACGGAGGGCCCAGAAGAGATCAGCATCTGATTGCTCGGTAACGGTGACAAATCGGCCATTAGCCAGGACTACCTCCAGTGCCAGCACTTGATCTGCAGCCAATCCGTACACACTCGACATGGGCGAATGACCTCCTCCAAGCACGTAGCCGCCAGCCACGCCCACAGTCTTGCCCTCGCCACCGACTGCAGTAAACCCAAGCTCGTTGGCTTTTTCATAAATTTCGAACGCCTGAACACCAGCACCCATCTTCACTGCGGGACCGCTATAGTTGCCAAGCCGATAGTCCTCATAATAGACGATATCTTTGAGGTGATGCGTCCAGATGCCGAGGGCTCCGGCGCCAGTGGATTTGCCATTGAAGTCGTGACCGGTGTTTTTGGCGACTAAGCGCAGGCCAGTATTACGGGCAAAGTTCACGGACAGCTGGATTTGCGCTACCGTGCTTACGTTAACGGCGTAGCTGCTGTAGCCCCCCAACGTGCAAGATTCGGATGTCAGGTCGGGTGGCAAACAACTGCGGCCCTCGAACAGCGGCCACATCACCGACGCGGGGTCTGCTGCACTGTCCAGCCTTGTCAATACAATATGCTCTGGCGAGGATAGACCAGGAGTCTACGTATCACAGGGTGAACTCACTGGAGGTAGGAGATGGTCCAGTCGTCCGACACATGGTCGCACTCAGTTGCATTGTACTCTGGCCAGGATGGATAGCAGGATGCGGCCAATGGGACTGTCTTGATGAGTGCGCCGCCCAGCAGCTGGTCAAAGAGTGACCATGTTGAGTCGGATGGCCAGGCTGCATCACTGGGGAAGACCTTGCACTCGCCTGATGAGAGGGTCTGTGTGGAGGTATTCCGGCTGAACTCGAAGAGGGCGGTAGAATATCCCAGCGCGGACTGTAGCTGAGCTAGCACGCCATCTGTAAGTTGATGGATTTCACTGTCGAAAAAGGGAGCATTGGCCACAGAGTTAGCTGTTGGGACGGTTGTGGCCGCGACGGGGACCGTCCTGGAGGCCGCACTGGCCTGGGAGGCAGTGCCGATGGCGAGCGCCACGAGGAACAAAGTTGAAGGAGCCATTGTTCAAGACCCCAAAGAACAGCAGCTTGGAAAAACTGCCTAGAGAGCAGTATTTAAGCCAGTGCGACCGATAGCCCCGTCACGATGGTTTATCTCGCTAGATCGTAACCGACCTGGGCTAAGTATCATTAGTGCATCCGGCGACCAGTGGTGACGCATTAGATTAAGCTATCCTCCACCGGCCGCGCGATGTTGTGGAGCAGTTGGGGCAGCCGGTCAGCTCGGTTTTAAGACGAGCAAAGCTGGATGCACTCTAATTTGGCAGATTTAGTATACTTAGTCTGAGACACAATCCCACAATTCCAAGAAACCCGTGCCTCCTCTTCCTGCTATGAGACGTGTTGGCCAGGCCCCGACAGGGTCTTCCAGGAAAAGCCGGCGCAGCCCGGAAATAACCTTGCCTTAGATTGGAAGCATAACAGCTGGACTTGATCCACTAATTATCCAGTCTGGGTCTAAGGGGGAGATAAAAACAATTGCGCTCTGGGAAAGGTGTTTGGAAATCTGCATCTTTTTTACAAGATAGCCATCCATCCCTCTCCCCGGCAAAACAGGGTGATCGCAAAATCATCTGTGCCTGAATACCCCGTATTTAACTAGTTAAGTATTAAGATGCCGGTTAGTCAGACGACTATCGTTCCTGCACGAGGTTTAAGCACCGGCTTTTCATGCAACAGGGAGGAAGGGGGGTTGTTGTGGCCGGGTGCTGGAAACTCTCCGGCGGAGCAGATAGTTGCCCTGGTAGTGTCTAAGAAGTGAATCCGGATGAGGGCTCGGCTACATAATGCACACAGTCTCCCTTTCTATTCACCTAAGAATGAAATGTACCCGGAAATCCGGCTATTTCTGTTGATACCCCTGTCATCTTTGCAGTGTCTCATCTCCGACCTGCCAACCTACCACATTGAGGGCAGTAACGGCCGTCATCTCCGCCGGAAAACCGACGGACACCCCCGCCACAAGTGCACGCCTCTTTGGACTCTAATATGCAATGGTCTGGCGTGCGATGCTTTTCTGGGTATAGGGTCGGACATCCCACAGGTGGATCTTGTCGGACAAAAATTTCCGCTTATTACTAACTCCAGTCTAACCGTCAACAGATGGCTACCGAGCACTAGAATACCGGGCTATATACTATCCGACCTTTGACTGGTGGACATCTACCACCAGCTCTCACAATGCAGTTGTAGTCTTATGCCTAATTTAGTCTTCACTTTCCAAACCTTGCAGTAGCGTCGTTTCATACAGAGGCTTCTATTAAGCATCTATTCGCTCGCTCCATGGACTTATTCCCAGTTCGCATAGATGCCTTGGGTTCGACAGATAACCTTAAGCAGGGCAATATCTAGCAAATAATATTCCCCTCGATGTCGACGGATCGCCTTTATCGTCTGTCTCTATGGCCAACATGGTGGACGATGGTCACCAGAAGACTGCCTTGGGCGTGGTTGTGGCCTTCCCCGTACTCGGGGGAATCGCAGTGCTGCTGCGAATCTGGAGTCGCTACTTGACTCGGTCGCGCTTGGGAGCAGGTGGGAGACACCCTTATTCAGTGGCTCATTTTGACTAACCACGAGAAGATGATATTCTTATTGTGGTTGGATATGTATAGTCCCCTTTCTCGAATCCATGTTACGTGGTGCTGACTTTGACAGATTCTTGCCATCGGGCAATCAATCACCTCCTGGTATTGTAGGTACCCTTTAAACCACGATGCGTTCTATACTTCTTGTTAACCAAGACAGATATCAAGACGAACTATGTGGGAATTCATATCTGGGACATCCCAAAGAACTATGACATCAAGCTAGGACTCATTGTAGGGGGTCACTGTCCCCGCCTTGTACCGCTGACATTGACTGACTGGACCAGTGGAACTTTGCGAATCAACTAGTCTACAATCCATGCCTCACAATGGTGAAGCTGTCTATCCTCGTGTTTCTGCGTCGCCTCGAATCCCAATCGCGGATCGTTAACCTTCTTATATGGTCCACCATGTTTATTACGGTCGCATTATTCATTGCGGTCCTAGTTGTGGATATCTTTCAGTGCAGTCCGGTCGCCTACGTCTATGACTTTTCCATCTCAAACGGATCCTGCATCAATCAGGGGGCGTTCTACGTGGCGACGGCGGCAGCCTACCTCTTCACCGACGTGCTTGTTCTGTCGATTCCTATCATAATTACCTGGGGTTTACAAATGCCACTAAGAAGGAAGGTTGCTGTCTGCGTGGTGCTCTGCATGGGCGCAGTGTAAGTGGCGATGATCTCCCAGGGGAATGGAGACCAGATGGCTAATCAAGTACAGAGCAACCGGGGTGGGAGTCTGGCGGATAGTTCTCCTCGCCCAGGGCTTCTTTCCAACTCACCCGGTGTACGATGCCACCTATTCCATTGGCTTCTGTAGCTCGGCAGTAGAGGTCCATGTCGCCGTTCTGGCTGCATGTGCCCCTTGCCTCAAGGCCATTGCCAGTACCTACTTGCCTCGTCTGCTAGGCTCATCACGTCGAGCCACCTACCCTTCAACCGGTCGCCAGTACATTCCCAATTCCCCCGCATCGTACTCTCGTCGATCTCACGTTAAGATTTCGGCTCCTCGTGGCGATACCTCGGTCGCATTCGAGATGGGAACCACCCAACCACCAATGCTGGGTGTTGAAGAAGCCGCAGCCAAGAGAGAGATGCGAAAATACCATCCCTATGCGGAAGCAGATGATACCAGCCTCAGTAGTGAGGACGGCGCACCGCCGAGAGGCATTGTAAAGACTACGGCGATCTCGGTTCGATACACGGCGGACTCCAACTCGGAAAATGGCGGGCAGGGGATCAGAGAAGGAAGCGTAGAGCGCTTGGTTTAGACAGAAATTCCCGTAATAATTGTAGCCGGTTGAGTGCTTGAACTTGAGGTTGCTACGATCGTCTTCCCAGCTTATAAGATAGATTACTCTCTATACCTGTCGCATTGTTGTCTGCCTTATCACAAACTTGTCTATTGATGCGTCGCCATCATCGGCTCGTAATAACCACCAGCGATCCAGGTGTCTCTCGATACAAAGATTGAAGGCATAAATTACCGCCGGCCGGGGAGCAGTACTGTCAGCTAAAAAGTTATCATAGCGTTCGCCGTTTCCAGTACTTCTTGAGCTCTAGCAAGGATTTCTTGTCTATTTTGGAGCCACATTCTCGTGGTAGTAGCGGTGAGCGGAATCCATAATGGCCTTGACCCGGGAAGCTGGCACTTTCTCCCTCCTATCGTACGAATAAAGTCCATTCACCTCTTGCTCGATATCACACCTTTATGAAGATTAGCCATCTATAAATGATGAACCCAGCTGTTGATATCTTTGACGGTCGCAAATCACCAATAATGAGCGAGACAGTAAGAAAGGAAGCTTACAATTGTGTATAGACCAATCCACACGAATTCCCTCCTTTCACCACTGCCATAACTAGCTTTTCCAAGCGACTCAGCAGATCTTCTGGATCACTGGCGGTGGTGTATCCCCAGTCCCGGTCCCCTGCCGTGGTTCCATTCGCAGGGATGATATTGACTCCGCCAAATTCAGAACAGATGACGGGGGCCCCGGAGGCATGCTGTGCACCAGGGTCCGAAGGAGTAGATGGCGTAGCCGGGATTGGCAGCACAAACATGTCGCGGTTGGATTTCTTGCCCAGGATGCCATTTTGGAAGTTCGCACAAGTCTCTGTTAGCGCAGGAAAGTCGGAGTAGTCGTGGTAAGTCGTCAGGTCGGTTGCAACATGTTCCCAGCCGCAATTGTCGTTGATCGGCCGAGTTGGATCCAGCGTTCTGAACTTATGAGCGATGCACCATTTTTCAGAATAGAATGAACTATAACTTACTTGGTGAGGTAGTAAACTGAGCGGATATGGTTGCGCTGGTCAATGTTGTCCTTCAGGGAGGGATAGCCCCAGCTCTCGTTGAACGGGGTCCATGCCACTATGCACGGGTGATTGATATCCCTGCGCACGGCCTCCACCCACTCGCTGTTGAAGCGCGAGATATATTCGTCGCTAAACTCGTAGGCATTGGCTATTTCACCCCAAACCAGGAACCCAAGCCGATCGGCCCAGTAGTGAAACACGGGGTCTTCGACCTTCTGGTGCTTGCGGCAGCCATTGATACCCATGTTCTTCGCCATTTCAATGTCTGCTCGGAGAGCATCTTGTGACGGTGGAGTCAGGCCTGTCTCCGGCCAATATCCTTGGTCCAGCACGAGAGTCTGAAAGCACGGCTTTCCATTCAGTCGGAAGGTGCCATCGCCATGAGTCCAAGAAACGCTTCGCATGCCCGTCGTCGTCTCGACTGCATCCACATGATTACCCGAGGCGTCGTAGAGGCGCAGAGTTAGGTCATAGAGGATTGGATGCTCCGGCGCCCAGAGGGCTACACTACCTCGCCAACAACCATCGATGTTGAACGGACACTGTTGCTTCAAAGGTTCCACTTGTGGAACACGCATGTCTATGTCAAGGTCCACCCAATCCTTGTCACGCGGCAATTCTTTTCTGCCACGAGTGACTGGATTTCCTGCAAGACCAGCTTCAATTTCAACGCTACATCCGGCGGCCACAGGGCGGCCTAGGACTGTGAGTCGTGCACGTAAGAAGCCGCCTTCAATGTCATCCGACCGTAGGACTGTCCCGTCACTGCTACTTCCCAGCCGCGTCCGGGGCACACTCTCCAACCAAACGGACAGCCATATACCACTGGTAGGGGTATAGAAGATCTCTTGTGGAACGGGTCCCCAGTATTGCTTCCCTCGCAGTTGACCGAGGTCGGTTGCAGAGTCGCGGACGCGAATTGTGAGGCGCCGGGCGTCCGAACCCTCTCGGCCACCAAATGCGTCCGACACATCTATGTCAAATGGCACATGGCCTCCTCGGTGAGCACCGACCAACTGTCCATCAACCCAGACAGTGCAGTCGTAGTCTACCGCCCCGAAGCGAAGGATCAGCCGGTTCCCTTTCGTCTGTTCATCTGTGGTGCGTATGTCCGGGACCATTCGCTCATACCAGAGCACTTCATGAACCTCGTATAGCCCAATACCGGACGCCGGGGTTTGAAAAGCGTAAGGTACATTGATCTGGCGCTTAGATTGTGCGGCCTCTTTGGCAGGGAGACCCTGTTGATGCCACCGTTGACTCAGGCCTGTGTCAGCATCGTCGAAGATGAAGTCCCAGGAACCATCGAGAGAAAGCCAATTGAGGGCAGGGCGGTGGAAGTCGGGGCGAGGATATGCGGCCATCGTTCAATCGCTAGATAATATTCGTGGAAAATCCTGTTGTTGTGAATGGGTTGGAGGATCAATGATGAGAAGTGCGAAGGACAACTGGTGAGGGGAAGAGGGATCGACAGCCAACCCCGCCCTACCATGACGTGGACCCATCAACCGTCTGCTGATGTTGTGGAACTACTTCAGGGGGGCTTTACAACAATTTCTGATGACTCCACACTGAGAGCTATTCTGTCTGCCTATCTTCACGGAAACTCCCCAATAGGAAGGACGTATGACTTTCCCCCCAACCGGCCCTGGAACTCGGCCAATTAAGCTAATTGGTCATATCATCTTAGCTGATAAAAGTACACATTGTCAACCCAGATGAAACTAGGATCTATCACACCACACTGCTATTCCTAGATTGCCACCCGGTATCCAGATTAAAAGTCTGTTGGATCAGAATGTCATTTGTACGCCTCCCAGTGTCACGGCTGGCTCTGGGTGAACAGGAATCAGGGTGGGCTACGCCTGCCCCGTCCCCTTGGATGGTGGTGGTCGTGTTCACGACATTCCCCGGGCGAAATAAGGTCACGGGCGCTGATGGGTAGGAAGAGACAGAAACAAAGTCGGCCTTGGGAGCTGTGGGCCCCGGCCCCGACGAGCTGCGTGAGCTCAACCGCGTCATTCCAGGTTTGGTGAAAAATGTCCGCAGATGCTTGAGTAACGGATATAGAGTGGCCATACTACCCGCAAAGATTCCCAGGCCAACCTCGACATTAGACCAAACGGCCACCTCATAAGTCGCGTCTATGTCCGATTAGGCTCTAATGTTTGCGTAAAGAAGAGGGGGGTAGAATATGCGAAACGGGGAGAAAGAGGCAAGGGCAAGGGCTTCTTACAAAGGAAGTCCGGATCGGCAAATGTGGGCACATAAGGAATGCGAACAATGACGGCACAGCAGGCACTGTCAACAATTCGGTTAGTGAAACTGGAAGTGATTCGAGACAGATATATCAAGCTACCCACATGCAAGCGATGCTGCTGATACCGATCGCAGCCACTTTTCTCCGCCACGGCATATTCAACTTCCGAATAATGAAGTATGGAACAATCCCAACCGCTAGATCACAGCATGCAGCAACTGCGCTGTATGCCCAGGTCAGGGCAATAACTAACTCGGTCTTCACACACGTCCCCTCCACAGTGGGATCAAAGGCGACCCTGGTCCAGAAATAAGAGATAGGACGACATTGCAGCAAGAGGGAAAACATGAGCACAAGCCCCATGAGGACGGTGCAAGTCATGATGATGTAGAGAAATGCGAGGTGCGGCCGCTTGATGGTGATACGAGTGAGAAAGATACATATTGAACATTTGCAAAAAATGGAACAGAAGCAGTATGCGATCTCGCAGAGCCACCAGTACTGAACAGGTTGTCAGTTGACAGTAACCGTAAGCCGAGGAAGACGATTGAACACACCTCCATTGCAGTAACTCGGTGGCTTGCCGTTAAGTCAGCGAAATGTTTTCCCGTGCCGTATAGACTGCCTCCGATCATGGCGCCACAGAACATGGCATAGACGGCCTGTGAAGATGTCAGCCTTGTCTATCTCACCCGCTGTCGGAAGATCGCCACATACCATGGCTAGCACCATGAGGCCATCATCCCATCCAAAGGCCTTTACCAGCCTTGAACGGACATAGCAACGGAGGAGGACCGTGATCGAAGTCACAGCCAAGAATACTGCGGCCACAGCGCGGACGGCGGCATTGCGGTTGACCGTCATGGACGGCGAGTTTTGGGCTGCCTTGGACGGTCACTGTTCAACCCGATGTCAATTCATGCATATGGTAGTTGACTATCATTAACAATCTAGGTTGATACCGGAAGGGCTTGAGGTCATAAAAGAAAACCAAGAGCAGGGCGGTAGTGAAAATCGATATCTCGCCCCTAGATTATCCCAAGATCCTGGAACCATGGGTTTGTATCTCCTGGAGCATTGCAGAATCTCTGATTGGCGAATGGAACCATTCATTGATTGGGGGGTTCTATGCGAGCATTGCCTTCCATGGATACACGGAGTTCGATGATTCATCATTGAACCATGACAGTGCTTTGACAATGCCAGATGACACTACAGTCGGTGTCGACGACAAGGAGATGATATATATTTCTATATATATACACCATGCATATTTAAGTGTTTTCATCTGATCGAGGTACGCTACCCAGTTAGGACATCATCGATCTCGATGAAGATAACCTGATAGCTGTATAAACCAAGTGATTCCTTCCTTCTGTGTTCACCAGGGGGGTCGTTCCATGGAATCATGGGAGGTGAACAATGGGTCTATGGCGTCCCGGTTTGTGCACGGACATGGCACGTGATTGCCACTCGGGAATCGCCGACGGGGGAACAAGATCCGGCGTCTTTACTTGGTTGGTACATTTTCCCGATCGTTCAATTCTTAGCCCGCAATGACCAAGTTGTCAACACTACACGCACAGTCACACCGATCGTGACCTATCACAGGGAAAGCCAAGTGAAGGTTAAGCGGGCTGCTAATCAGGAGAAGCCTGGCCATGTGCTACGTTAGCCAAGCCATAACAGCCACATTCCAATTCGACTCTACCGTGTACCAATTCGCTACAATTGGTACCTCTTGACTTCCTAAGCCTATTCTCATCTATGAAGGCACCCAGCATAATGTGGCCGAGGGGCTCTGATAACATTTCGCTTTGCTCCTCGACCAATCCCGCAGACCCTCAACATTCCCCGTCACTTCTTCGTGTGCAATAAACCAGGCCCATTCCGACCGGCAAAATTTAAACCATAGCATGGACTGCTCTTTTCCCGGGCAAAGAAGTTATATCACACACAATGAAGCATATAGAAAAATAGGCAACGCAGTACAAAGGACTAGCTAAATATGTGTCCGAAGTATCCAGGAACATGCCCCTCACCACACCGGCCTACAAATCGCAGCTAATTCCCGAGGGAACATTGAGGCAGTCATCACTAACTTTGCCGCCGGTCACACTCACGCTGGTCCAGGTCCAGTCCGAACAGCTGCCATCACCACAGGCAATGTAGACTTCTGTGCAATCATCATCTTCACACGTTCCGCTGATGTTCTCCAGCACAAAATCTGTGATCGGCACTCCCGTAGTAGGAGTCTTGGAGGTGTCATCGTAGTTCTGCTCAATGACAATGCCGTAATTTGTAGCGTCTGAGAAGGCGATCTCATGGTAAGTAACTTCGCTGACGGAGCCAGTGTCGCCGTAGATGGTCTTGATCCGGATCGCTACAGCCCACGTTAGAGAATGCCAGAGAGGTTACTCAAGTTGTTTGCCTTACCCTGCTGGGACTTGAGAACATTGACATCATAAAATGTAACATTTTTGACGGTGTTATCATCCCGACCACCAACTGAGCCAATGGACAGGCCATGACCTCCGGAACACACACTGGCACTGAAGTAAATATTCTACGGGATGGTCAGCCACACGTTTCCCCTCTCTGCCACAGTACCAGGATGAGCATACCTCTCCAGAATTGATAGCAACGCAGTCGTCTTGGTTGTAGATCTCAGCACCGGTGATCGTGATATAGGTACTCTCCCCGATGTCAAAGCCATCCGTATTGGCAGCGAGGTCGTCGGTATCACCGTCAGTGTTATCCACAGTGATATCGGTCATGGTGAGATAAGTGGAGCCATCGATACTGAACACTTGGACAGGAGAGTTCTCAACGTAGATGCTCTTGATGGTGGAAGAGGTCAAGTCATGGGCATAGAAAAACTTGGGCTTTGTTTTACCGCCATTACCACCCTCTCCGTCCCACCAGCGGCTGCCATCACCATTAAGCACCGCGCCGCTCTCTCCTTCGACGGTAATATCCGTTCCAGAAACACTCACGAGAGGCCCTGTCCATTCCTCATAGCCGAAAGTGGTTTCTCCCTGGAAGATTACCTAGTGCATCTGTCAGCCGGACCCCTTGACGGACTTGGGTACAATAATGGGGCATAGATAAGACGAGAACGTACGTGGGTCCCATCATTTAGATCAGTGAGGTCAAGGGTGGTGCCAGATGGGACAGCCACGTCGGACAGGTAGATGGTGGAGCAAGAAGTTTTCGACTTGCTGGCCTTGGATGCACCTTCGGAGCCCGAGAAGGTGCAAGTTGTCGCTCGCTTTTCAATCAGATTGGCGTCAGGCGCTTCCGTAACCATGGGATGAGCGGGTTCGGCAGGCGCCGCATGCACAGCAACAGCTGCCAGCAGGCTACCGATTAAGATGAATTGACGGACCATTGTTATAGCGGGCGAAGAGGGGACAGAATAAGAGATCTGTAATCAAGAAAAATGATGACAAGATATACCCAAAGAGCTTCCTAGAGACATGATGATATTCGGCCCTTTATATTCTTACGGGGAGCTATCTTTACTGGGTGTCAGGGGTAAACATAAAGGGCGTTGACGAAGCGAGGCCGCTATGGACGTTTTGGTGGCGGGTCTATGTCCGTAGTGGAAAGACCGGACTTGATCCTGGCGCCGGAAACCGACCACAAATTCAGCCGACCATACATGAAGAGATTCCCACCATTGACAGTACATGTTAGGTGTACACGAGTTATCTGGGTCGCTGCAGCCATGGGCCTTTTGAGGGTAATCATTGGTGGAGATAAACGTTGCACCGTGCGCAGGAACAGCACCAACACCAGTGCAACGGATAATACCCAGCGGGAACCTAAATGCTTGTTCAAGAATTGTGGAACCATGTTCGTTGCTACTAAATCATCAGTTTCTCTTCATCAACAATGGTAATGGTGGGAGTTGCGGTCGGTGGATTTCCAATGCACTACCCACGATTGATACATTATATTATCCACCAAATAATCCCATATCTGTAAACGACTCCAATCTTATCACCATAAAATGAAATGAAATAGGTGGACTAGGCCAGGGGCAACGTTTCAGCCATGGCAAATGCGGATGCCAGCGGACGCCTGTTAGGGGGCTCGTGACGGGGCCATGAGGGAGGGCACTAATGAAGTGGTCCGGTACTAACGCCCATGTTTAGTGGACACAGGCCCTTGTCGGACTACATTACCCGTGCAGGTCTAGTGTAGCATCAGCTGCAAAAATAACTTCTGCAGAACCTCGCTTGTCTCGATAGCGGGGTGCTAAACCTTCCAATGGCTAGCCAATAAACTGGTTCACATCAAGCAGGTTCATCCGTCAATGGTATTCATTCCCGACAGATTGGGGAGGGGTAATGATCAGAATGAAGGCCAATAAGGACAATGTTGCGGCACCTCTCCCATTTTTTGAGACCAAAAATCGCCATCCATGTCACTTAATGTGTATTTATTTTTCTTTCTCCCTTTCTTGTTTTCTTGCCTTTTTTCTATCGATGTCCAATATATGTCGGTTATCACAGCATAAAGTATCTATCTGGCGTTTAATGAGTTTCTAAGCCTTCTCTTGCCTGCCAGGTTACGGTCAGATTACACCATTCTAGGCACTGAATAACTTGAAGACGTGGAATTAGTAGTAAGCTAGAGAAGGAATAATCGTTTCGTAGTGACTGAACCATAGAGTAATGAAGATGCCCGCTTAGAAGCTACTGAATAGAAGATAAGGTTCTAGACAAGTCGTAGGATATGCGACTAGATATAACACATCTTACACTCGTTATATAAAGATCGCAGATACTAAACTGTTCTTTCTTTGTAAGAGAGGGCCAGTGATTTACATTTAGATGCATGATCCTGCTTATTCGAATACATCGAACAGGGATGCATGAAGAAGTAGTGAGGTGTTGGATGTGGCGGTCTGAAACTGAAAAACATCTTTTTCAGACTGACAATGTGGCTAGTGAGCTAATTCCTATCCCATCTGTTTGAATAATTTTATCCCATCTATATGAACAATTGTTCAACCAAGTTGAACCCTTGACGTAGGCAGAAAAATGCTTTCATCCCTAATCCCCGGGGCCTTACCGTCCAGAAATTGCGGTGAAAAGAAATGAGCCCTATCGATTTTGGCCTGATTAGATTTAACAAGCCCCAGTTTACCCCGTACTAAATTCGGTGCCATTCCGTCGATAGTGTCGAGAGTGAAGCTATCCAACTCGAAGGGGTCTTCACGAATCATACGCCTACTTCGTAGTATTTCCAGCACCTGCAGCTCGTCCGTTGTAAGGTGTTGTTCTAAGCCATCGAGTGTCTTTGCCTCTCTCGCGTCGTTTTGTCCGGATTCAACGCCAAGGTTCTTCAGCTTCTCAAACAGTGCGTCCTTCTTCTCTGGCGGGACATATGTGAAAGCCCTAAAGCAGAATTCGAGTGCCTTGGATATTTCGGAGTGGGATACTTTCCCTGTATCATCGGCATCGACGGTACCTTGAATGACTAAACCAAAAAGGAACTTAGTTGAATCATCAACGGAAAGCTTGGAGCCATAACATTTTGCTTCAATGGATACGTACTTGGTCTCAGAAGATCAAAGGCTCTTTGAAATCCTTCCTCCTCCATGTCTTGAATAATAGGCTCATACTGTTCACGGATCTGCTTCGTAGCACTGCTAACCGCCAAGAAAAATCGAGTATAGCTCTCAACCGTTTTCTTGGTGTGCCACGACCCCACCGTCTCCTCATCACAGTCGCCCCTGATCGACGCTGCAATGGTAGCTGCCGCTGAGAGACCGCCTGTCACAGCGAGATGGACACCCGAGGAGAACAAGGGGTCAATAAAACTTCCGGCGTCCCCACAGATGCGTGCATTTGGTATGTGATAAGTTGACGCGGTATAAGACCAATCTGAGGCCGTTCTGACAGTGGTAACTATCTCCGCCCCCGAGAGGAGTTTGCTAGTCCTGGGCGCCTTTTCGACGCATTGCTTGTAAAAGTCCAAGGTCGAGGGACGTCCTAGCTCTCGCTTCTTTTCAGTCACAAGTTTCTGGTCCTGAACAACTCCTACGGAGCGAGTGCCATCGTGTAGTGGCATAAACCAAGCCCAGCCACTGGCGTCTATGTGTTCCTCAGCAAAAGGGTCAACAGTCAAGCAGAGAGGTGGAGATTGGTTTTTTCCCCGAACCTACCGTCTAAT